GTCGTCTCTCTTGGAGCTTCAGTCGGCACTATCCCGTTTCTTCATCGTGACCGCTTGCTCGCTCGTCAGACCGGGCCACTTAATTTACGGCCAATTAATTTGGATAAACTGAATGAGTGGAGACCTGCTTTCGATGCACGCGTTAACCGTGAATATTTTTCCCCTCCTCTCTCCTTTCGGTCCATTTCATTCACCGTTTACGTTCTCGTTCTATTTCTTTCCGAATTTTTCTGGCGGACGCGTTTGATTCCATAGCGCCGGCGAAATTATTAAAAAAGAAATCGAGAAAACTTTTTAAGACGGGGAATAGAGACGAATCGTATATACTTACATGTATATGTAATCGGAGAATAAATATTGAAAATAAAAAATATCTTCAATATCTATCTTCTGTCTTATTTGTTTTAAATATATTTGTATATTTCTGTACTATATAAATAAAACATACACAGAGAAAAAAATTAGTCTGAAAGCTCGATTCTTTCGCCGCGGCCATATTGACTTATGATATCATAGACGAGACATGACGTGCAGTAATTTCGTTGTGACGTATAGCTTTATTTCTTAGTTTTTTCTTAACACATAATAAAAAAACAAAAACATAATAATTTTATGAGACATCTCGATCACATAAATGAAATAAGAGATTATTTTTCAGTCATGCTCAAGCGCCCATGACAGCTAGGCTGGCTGAAAAATAATCTTACCTTAAAAATTATTTTACACTACTACATGACAAATCGGACAGATGTCTTAGTTCTCCGTACATTTTACATATTTCAGAATCACAAAATTATTATATTTTTGAGAGAAAACTATGAAATAAAGCTATAAGCGTCGCAACGAAATTACCGCACGTTATTTCTAGCCTGTGACATCATAAAATCGATGTGACCGTTCAAAAGAGTCAAGTGCTAAATTAAGGCAAATGTTCTCATATATAATTAAGAATATTGTAATCTTTATAAAAATTTTAATCTTGATTTCATTGAATTTGTATTGATGCAAACTTACTACTTTTGTTCAGCTTAAGACCAAAAATCTTGCATATGAAGAATACAATATTTTTAATGGGATACAATAGTTTATATGGGAATATCTATACTTGTATCAATATCATTGATTAATATTTTTATAAGAAAATTAAAATATTCTTGCCTATATATACAATATACAATCTTGATTTAAGACTAATTTCTTTTTGTGTATTATACAATTTTTCAAATTCGTTTTTAAAAAAGTAGAAATCGAGTATCACAAAATTCAGGAAACGTGGAAATTTAGCTTCGTTTTACGTTGAAGACTTTCCTGAAGACTCTCTTGAATCTTGAATCTAACCGAGATGAAAAAAGAGGGAAGAAGAAGTTGAGATCTGTTGTCCCGTGTAATGAAGACGCAGACGTTATTTCTCTCTTGGGCAACTTATGAATCACATTGTTAGCGGCGCAACTATTCGCGACGACGCGGCGAGGCTCACCGAGCGAATGCTGGCCGATGAGGTGCGTGGCGTCCGATGTTGTCCAGGCGTATACCTGCTTGGTATTCCGCTCCGGTCCGAGAGCATAATTGGACGCCAACTGGCGACGCTCCTCCGCGTATCGCGAAGACAAGAAATTATTCTTTAATTAATTGTCAGCGCTCAATGTGGCCGTATGCGTAGGATCGGTCGGGTCGGTACATAAATTTTATCTATATGGGAGCGCCGAGCTGAGGCCGTGCTGAGAAGCGGAGGCGGCTGGCGGGCTTTGGAGAACGCAAGCGGGAAGAGAAGGGAAGAGAAAGAACAGGAGAGGGATCTTCGAACAGCTTCCGATCTACACGGGTGGCGAATATCTGGCGCCTGTTTGTAAAGCCTTTAACGGCGAATCGTCGCCCTTAAAGGCTCTCTTCGCGCTTTGCCACCTGTCCCACGAGGATCGATTTCCAAGATGTGCTCGTTGTTGAATTGTCCCGTTGTTTTGACGGAAGAATTCGACCGTTTTCTGATAACTGATAGTTTAATATGCGATTCGACGATTTACAGATTTGAAACATTTAAAGTTCCACAAATTTATCATTCTTCTTTTAATCTAATTGGAATTAGAATTGGAGATTCTTTTTTCTTCATTCATTGTTTTAAGAGTTGCTGTTGCAATTATTCGTTTGTATTTCCATAAACATTTTCACCATGTAATATTGCCAAATAACGAATTTCGAACTGAGCTTATGTAAGGGGAAATCGAGTGCAAATCGCTTTATCCTGGAATATTTGATAAGTCTTGCATCGCGAGCCTTATTGACGAAACCTTCGAACATCGCGCGGTTGCAAAAATAAAATACGGAGATGACATGGCAATTATTGGGAACGGCACGGCGTCTTTCCTTGGAAAGTTGTGTGTCGCCGAAAAGAAAAGGAAAAGGTGAGCTGCAGGCGCCTATGGCCACACACCGTAAAGCGAGAGACAGGTGTACACAACGAAGACACAACGCACAAATATGATAACGGCGAACGAGTCGTCGTCATCGTAGGTATGTGTGCTGGTACCGTGTCCTCTATATATATATATATATAT